AGCCTGCTGGCCAAACCAGTGGAGTGCTGCCACAAGCTGCCCCTCGAGCTGCTCCGCCACTGCCTGGGCCATGGCCCCCAGCCTGCCCAGGCTCTACCCATCCTCAAGCCAGCCCTCGCACAGTGCCCCTACAAGGCGGGACCAAGCAACTCCTGTGAGGCCTGTGAGGAGCTCTGCCTCACCCTCTTGTTCCTAGGTACACTTAACACAGAGACACCAGAAATCAGCGAGTCAAGAAAATTGTAAAGTACAAGTAATATGAGATTTTTTTAAAAAAATTCTCTTTATTCATTTTTTATAACAAAGCAAACAAGAACATGCAAATAATCCAATAATAAACACTCGACATTCCTACAAAAGAGTTACAGTATCATTCAGGTATTTTTGAACTTAAAGCCCCAGAGATAATAATAACAAATAACGAAAGCATCCTTTAAATTTCGACTCTTAGTACATTACATCAAAACCCATTTTTGGTAACAGGTATTTATTGGCAATATGCCCCGTGAAGTAAGAAATGAAAATATCGGGAACCAGGTTGATTCAAATTTGAGGTTAGAGGGCCGTAAAATTTGAGCTCTATGTACTTTATCTGCTATCTTAGCCATCACAAATTGATCCCATATTTTTTCATGCAAGGCTGCTATTGTTGGAGGATGAGGAGACCTCCAACATGACGCTAATGTCAAACGCGCTGCAGCCAGAAGCATCGAGATAATTTCCCTGTTCCTAGCATCCACATCATTATCCCAGTAGTTCAGCAGAAACACTTCAGGCTTAAGGCTTAGATCTATCGAAGTTATGTCAGCGATCTCCTTCCGAACGTTCTCCCAAAAATTATGGGTAATATGAGATTTTTTGATATATCTAATATACATCTTAGATTTCTAAAACAGAAAAAGATGCAATAAAAAGGTATGTAAATCTTTGCCAAATACATAATAACCTCCATTTAAAGGAAAGATATATATTCCTAAAAAGAGTTTATCAAAAAGATCCAAATATGGACATCTATACTGGCTCAAAATAACCATAAAGTCAAACATCTTCTTTCTGTTTATTCTTCCCAAACATAATTCTCACAGAAATTAAGTTTTCCAGATCAACATAATGAACTATGTTTTAAAGAAGACAGAGCAAATATTATTTAACAAATAATATTCAGTAACAGTAATTTTGTATGGATTTTTTCCTAGTATAGCAAAATCTACAATAAGAAAAGTGAAAGATACAGAGAATGTGTTATTAAGCTGAGGTAACACTTTGTGTGGCAGATACAATTAATTTTTTTAATATATTCTTCAGTGTCTATAACCCAAAAATAATAAAAATATATTTTTTAAAATGATGATGTATAATCTACTATCACATTTCTATGGAATAGCTCTGCTGGGGATTGCAGAAGAATGCCTAGAACTGAAGAGTTTCAGCAAAGCAGTCTTGATCTCTTTGTTTCTTATGCTATAGATGAATGGATTGAGCAATGGCAGGAGTATAGAATAAATTACTACGAAAACATCAACATCAGATGATGTGTTAGCAGGAGGACTTACGTAAGCAAACATTGCTGCAAAAATAAGCAGAAACACCACAGTGAGATGAGGAAGGCAAGTGGAGAGGGCTTTTTTCCAACCCTGCACTGAATGGATTCTGAGCACTGTTGCAATGATCTCCATGTAAGTTAAAAGCATGAAGATAAAGCATCCAAGTACTGTGACAAAGCTATGAATAAAGAGGCCAAATTCAACTAAGCATAGGTCAGAGCAGGAAAGTTTTAGTAACTGTGGGATCTCACAGAAGAACTGATTGACCATATTGGAGCAGAAGGTGATGGCAAAAGTGCCAGCCATATGCAATATGCCATAAAGTATGCCGCTTATCCATGCACCTCCTGCCATCTGCATGCAGACTCCTCTGTGCATAATTGTTTCATATCGCAGTGGTTAACAGATGGCAACATAGTGGTCATAGAAGAAGAAGAGAAAGAATACCTGGGCTACACATACAGAATAAGAAACTGACCGGTTATGCAAGAGGGAATTGGCCATAGATTTTGGCATTGTGACGGAAACTGAGCCAAGGTCCAGAATGGCCAGATTCATAGGAGTGTGCAGATGGTGATCAAAGACTACTGAAAGGGTTATTATAAGGTTTCTAGTTGCCAGTCACAAAGAAGTGCAAAATCTGTAGTTCTTGGAAATTTGAGAATCCCAAGAGCAGAAATTCAGATGCTGAGGAAAGATTGGACATTTCGCCTCCATATCAAAATGTGAGCTACCTGTAGAATGAAAAAGAGAAGACCTTTTAACTGAATAACATCCTAAATTGTGATAAAGCAGAGAGGGGACCAAGATTATTCCTGCTTTCCTGTCCCGTCCACCATCATGCATTGTACATAAGAATGCATGACTGTAGGATATGTATACTCAGGATATTACACCATATATTATGTAGGCACCCAACATGGTAACACTTTCTACATGCATACATATTGTACATACAGAGATGATCCATGCATGGAAAATGGAGGAAGGGCAATGGATAGCATTCTAATTCCCAGTCCACAGTTTGCATCTATTTTGACAGATCCAACTCTTGAAATTAGTCAGAAAATATCAAGGGTGGGATACTATGTTAGCAGACAATTGTTCATGTGTTGTGTAATATTAACTTGGTTCCGGCATTTTTGGTCACAAGCCTGTGACAGCACTGTAAGCAGTGGCAGAGGAAAGCAGGAAGGTGTCACTTTAGCGCTGGGCTGCAAGTATTATACAAACTCAACTGTAATATTAGAGGACTACTTTACACAGAGAGTGATTAAAATATGGAATTCGCCAGAGGATGTAGTGATGGCCACAGGAATAATCAGCTTTAAAAGGGGATTAGATAGATTCATGGAAGATAGGTCTATCAGTGGCTACTAGCCATGGTAACTGAGGGGAACCTCCACAGTCAGAGGCACTAAGCCTCTGAATCCCAGAGCCAGGAAGCAACTTCAGGGGAAAGCCTCGGTCTCTATGCCCTGTTGTTGGCCATTCAGAGGAACTAGTGGCCATCCAGAGGAACTAGTTGGCCACTGTGTAAGACAGGATGCTGGACTAGATGGACCATTGGTCTAACCCAGTAGGGCTCTTCTTATGTTCTTATGTCAGGAGGTGGCATCCAGCTGGCTTTTTCACTCACTCTCACTCAGTTCCCAATTACTTTACCTCTCACCCCCTATGACTTTTGACCATGCAGTTTCCATGATCTTGAGATGTAGACTTTGGGGGGATCATAAGATCCTTATTATTTCATAAGCAGAAAAGCTGCTCATAGGTCATCGAGGCATTGCATTTTATCAATCCAAGTAGATTGGAAATATTCAAAATGAGAGACAGAGAAATGCTGAGGGTAGAAGGGGGAGGGAGAAATAAGAAGAGAAGCAAAAAAGAATTACAGGAACGAAAAGAGAGCTCTATTATGAGGGTGACAATGACATGGTTCAGAGATAAAGCTCATTTGCTTGGTTACCTTGGTTACCTATATCATCCTGCCTGGTAATAAGGAAAAAATTGCCTGGTCTCATGCACAGATTTATGGTGAAATGTATAGTGAAATTACAATTCATAACAGGTCTATGAGAGTACAATCATATGGCTTCCATCTTTTCCACACTTAGAGGCAAACTGATCTCCACAGAGGTGGCTAACCATGAGAGGGTCACCCACATGAGAGAGTCATTCTCAGTAGCAGTTTTTCTGTTTGTCTTAGATCAGAGTGTCTGATAGATAACTGAACTATTTTGAGTGGCAGTTAAAGCATTCAACGTAGCCTATATTGCAGGGGGGGTAGATTCCTAGTTCTCACCATTCTCCACTGAATAAGCTTGGTTGCTGTACCCTTTGCCCAAATTCCTGTTCAAAATGGAGCATGAGAGCTGATGCAAAAGGCACTTCTGGGGTTAAGTTGCTGAGAGCCCAGCCAATAACAAAAGATTAAAGGGGTGAGTATTGAAGTCAGCTACACCTCTGGAGGCCACTACATTTGCAGCTTCTTCTCCACCTGCCTGCCGTATCCTTAGATTGCAGGAGTAGCTTGTCACCATGCAAGGTGCAGACTGGATTTTCCTGGATTTCCCCCAAGTTGCCCGAAGTGCCTCCTTTTCATTCTGAATGTTGTAATAAACAGACATGGTCTTTTGACTTGTTAGGCTGTATCAAGGTTGGCAGAAATAGTTCAAATGACAAGTGTATTAGTAGGATGATTACAGGCACTTGGAGGCCTCCGAAGGTGAAAGGAGGCTTTGAAAAGCTTGCTCTTCAATGCCTGCATGGTAGGCGGGTGTGGTGGAGGAACTCTGTTGATGCTTTGCAGCATCAGCCAACCCCCCAGTAATTTTATTTAGTTACTTTGTTGATACACTGCCTGTCTCCCCAATGGAGACCCAAAGCTTACATTCTTGGGTTGGCACCTTTCTGCCTGGTTTTCTATCCCGAGTGGAAGGAACAGAAAACACCTGATGAGTTTGAGGCCAGTGTGATGTCACTCAGGAATGCTCCTCCAGAACTGTGGCTGCCCCTTGTGTAACCCATAGTATGTTCTTGCACTATATTCTCTATATTTATGGTATTGATTTATGTCATGTTGTTGTTCGCACTTTGTTGTTTTCCTGTTAACAGTTGAAAATTTAATAAAATATATTTGCAAAAAAAATGAAGGGCTGTAGCTCACTGGCAGAGCATCTGATTGTCATGCAGAAGGTCCCAGGTTCAATTCCCAGCATCTTCAGTTAAAAGGATGAGGTAGGAGGTGACATGAAAGAGCTCAGACTGGGACCCTGCAGAGCCACTGCTGGTCTGAGTAGACAAAATACTGACTTTGATGGACCAAGGGTCTGCTTCAGTATAAGGCTGCTTCATGTGTTCATGAGCTGTTTAAAAAGCTAGTTTAAGTATTAACCTGTTTCTCCTGTCTTTATCTCAGGATATGGAGGACAACCTGTGTCCAAATTCTACCTCTTAAATGGATAAGGAAGCATTTGAATAAAAGCTTCATTTAAAAAACAACAACAACAAAAATCTCTGCAGGTGTTAGGGGAAAGCATAACAATTAGAGCAGGGGTGTCAAACTCAATTGTTATGAGGGCCGGATCTTACATAAATGAGATTTTGTTGGGCTGGGCTATGTGTGTCATAAAATGTAATGCCTGGTAGCAGTGATATAAACTTTATAAAGGACACAAACACAAAGGTTTTTTTTTAACTTGAAATAAAAACATGCTTAAAACATTAGCACTCTTGCAATATTTTGTTTATTTAACGGTATCTGATAACTGACACCTCTTGTTCTGAATTATTGCATCAAAACGTCTGTGATGTTACAATCTTGAGTATGCTGTTCAGGTGTGTATCTGTAAGCTGCAAACCTACTTTTGATTTATTGACATTCACCACAGAAATCTCATGCTCAGAGTTCTGAGCCTAGGACCCAGGTTAAAACATGAAATGACTGAGTGATTAAGAGAGTCTGGCAAAGCAAGCTATGATGCAGCAGCAGAACTGGAAACAGGAGATGGCCAGTTCCACTGTGGGCCTGATGGAAGCCCTCCCCTGAGTTAGAGGGATGAGCAGACAAGTGAATCAGAGGAAAAGAAAAAATCGACAAATTACTTTGGCCAACACTACAACTACATTTAAGAAATTCTTACCATGACTGTGCAAATTGTTTGGGGAATATCTTTCAATGTCAGGTTCAGTTTCTCCAGGTGCAGCTTTACTCCCTCCTGAGTCTTGAATCTTCTTGTAGAAAATGTCTCCATTCATGTTGCTGATGATCCAGTATACCAGAATGAAAAAAGGATGTGTGCCCAAGAATGAGATTAATTGAAAGCCTATTCTGATGTACTTCCAAGAGTCCTGTACGCCTTTCTGAACCCTTCCCCCTTGGCTGTGTTGCTTCTTACTGTGGTACAACAATCTTAAACAGATAATTAATGTGCTATATTTTCTGAATCTGTTTGGGTACATGACAGAAGACCAGACTTGTAAGAGAAAAGTTGATATCTATCAATATCTCAGATGTCTTTCATTATGCCTAGGTACACTTGGCAAATGATGTCAGATCAATGGGTCAGAGTGTGAAGAAAGGGGTAGGAAAGGGAGACTAGAAAGGGAAGACAGAAATGGAATAGACAAAATAAGTTAGATCCAGCCAGCTTTTTCAATAAGGGACAAACTAAATGTGACAGCATCCTTATAACTGCTATGAGGATACCACTACCATTATAAAGACATTTCAAGTCCCCAACTAGTGTGTGTGTGAGAGAGTGAGTCTGCACTGTAGGCCCAATCAGGAACAGGCCTTTGTAACATTTCAAAATCTCTCCAACATGGTGGTGGCCAAGAGTACACAGTCATGTTTAGTTTACCTCTCAGAGTCGCTCCATTCCCCTCTGTTGCCAGATCCCTGCTGACCACCAGCAGGGGATGCGGGGTTAGGGTTGCCAGATGCAGGTTGGGAAACTCCTGGAGATTTGGGGATAGTGCCTGAGTACAGAGACCTTGGTGGGGTGCAATGCCATATGGTTCACCCTCCAAAGCATCCATTTTTTCTCTCTCCAGCGGAACTGATCTCTCTGGTTTGGAGATGAATTGTAATTCCAGGGGATCCCCAGGTGCCATCTGGAGGCTGGCATCCCTACTACAGCCCTGATTGCTTATAGCTTTTGTCTGGGCAAATCCCCAACAGAGCTACTCCTGGTGGTCAAAGGGGACCTTTCCTTCCTTTTTCACCAGTAGAAATTTTGGCTGAATTCAACCCAATGTCTGATTTCACCCGAAAGGACGACCCCAGCAACTCAACAAGAAAGCTTCTCAGCCTCTGCAGGAAGATGCTATGCAGCTCACTAGTGGGGAAAATAGATTAAGGTAGCTAGGATTGATCTTATGCATGGTTATGGATACATTCTTTCAAACATGTTTTAATGCAGTTTTACAAGATTTGTTCAGAACCAGCCCTTGGACTTGGCCTGTAGCCCCCAGTATACCTTAGATGTATCATTAATTATGTTCCAGTGCATTAGGCCTTAGAGCACATTGCATTCCTCCAAGCACAGTGAAAGTTCTCATTGGATATGTGGCAAGGAAACCCAGTTTTCACATAGATACTGGGGAGAGAAACTTTTATATGTCAACGTAGTCCCAACCATGTATGTCAGAGAAGGAGAGGTGTATTAACTGTGGGATTTCATACTCAAATAGTTCAACCTTATTGCAGAAGAAGGTAATTGTAAGTGTCAACAGAGCTGCAATCTGGCATAGAATATAGCAAACTAATCCATGCACTGATCATCATTTGAATGGAGATCGCTTTATGCACAATTGCCTTATATTGTTGTGGCATGCAGTGGCATAGCAAAATAGCAATCAGGTGCCATCATTGTGCATGTGTTCAGGGGGGGGGGATCTGACCTTCTGAAAGAGAGAGAGAAAAAACTTGACCACCTCTTATAACATATGTAATTGACCAGATGTTTATTAGGGAGTTGGCCATAGATTATGAAACCATAACAGAAATCACAATGGGGCATTCAAAAAGAACCAGCAAGCAAGCACAATTTGGTGACTTTCCATTAGATTAAAGCATCTGAAATGCCATGCTTCCCAGAAGAAAGGATTTATATATGTATTTCTTTTTTATTTTTAATAAATTTACAGATATTAATGCCATAAAAATAACAAACAGAAGAATACAAAAAACAAAAACCCAAAACCCTCTCAAGACAAATTATAAAAGTTGCATACATTCAAACTTGGATTCAACTTTTCATGCTAGAAATGAATACCCTATGCTTGCTTCCAATGAATTTCACAAATTGATTTTCACAAGTCACCCACCGTGTTTTGGGAGGGTCTAGAGAAATGCAAAATCACAAAAACTAAGGAAATAAAGACATACATTTAAGAATGGTAAGATAGTGATCTCAGCCCATTAGGAGAGGAGCTGTGGCAAATAGAGGGGGTCTGGCTCAGCACTGAAACTTCTACTTGGCATGCAGAAGGTCCCAGTTTCATTCCCAGGCATCTCAAGCTGAAAAGATTAGGGGGTAGATGATGTGAAAGACCCCTGCTTGACAACCTAAGGAGCTGCTGGCAGTCAATTTAGATAAAACAGACTTTGATGGACCAATGGTCTGATCCAGTATAAAGCAGCTTCCACTGTGTGTGTGTTAGCGTGTTTGTGTATTTTTGGTACACAGACAGAATTATTGGGTTGGAGATAAGGTGCAAGATGCCATCCTCTGAAGCTAGAAGGCCTCATGGCATCATTGGCAGGGGGCTCGTATTGATGTCTTCCTCCTCCTCTTTGCAGTTATCTGTTTCAAATGGCTTTTGCTCCATGTGGGACCTCTAACCATCCAGCATCACATTTTCAGTCCTCACAGCTATGTACTGATAAAAGTGAAAGTGAAAATCTCTACCTGTCCCACCAACGTCTGTTCGTGCTTCACAAAATCGAAACAGTTATTATTGGTATATTATATCATGCATAGCCCAGGGTACAAAACCAAAAAAACACAATAAACTAAAGAAGACAGTTCAGCCCAGTTTTACAAGATGAATTTTGCTGGAGCTGGTTTGGGGAAAACGTCTAAAACCAGTGAGCTTTAACAATGCAGTCTTGATGTCTTTGTTTCTCATGCTATAGATGAAGGGATTCAGCAGTGGAGGTAATATGGCATAAATCACTGCAAAAAGGATATCGAGATCAGAGGATGTGTTAGCAGGAGGCCTCAAGTAAGCAAAGAGTCCAGTGAAAACAAGCAGAGACACCACAGTGAGGTGGGGAAGGCAAGTGGAGAGGGCTTTTTTGCAACCCTGCTCAGAAGGCATCCTGAGTAGTGTTGCAAAAATCTTCACATAAGTTATAATGATGTAGATAAAACATCCTCCAATTAAGCTGCAGGTAAACAGACTAATTCCAATTTCAATTCGATATAAGTCTGAGCAGGAAAGTTTTAATATTTGTGGAACTTTACAGAAGAACTGATTGATTTTATTGGAGCAGAAAGTGATGGCAAAAGTGCCACTGGTATGTAATATGGCAGAAAGTGTACCGGTAAACCATGCACTTATAGCCATCTGAATGCAGGCTCCATTATTCATAATTGCCTCATATTGCAATGGATGGCAAATAGCAATATGCCGATCATGTGCCATTACTGTGAGGATGGCAAAATCTGACCCTCCAAATAGGAAGAAGCAGAAAACTTGAGCCACACAACCTGCATAAGAAATTGACCTGCTATTCATGAGGAAATTGGCCATCGCTTTAGGTAACATCACAGAAATAGAGCCAAGATCCATAAAGGCCAAGTTCATGAGAAAGAAGTACATGGGCATATGCAGGTGATGATCCAGCACTACAGCCATGATGATGAGAAGATTGCCAGTGACTGCTACCATGTATACCGCTAAGAAGACAAAGAAATGTAAGATCTGTAATTCTCGGACACCTGAAAATCCCAGGAGTAGAAACTCAGATGTGGAGGTAAGATTCGCCATTTTGCTCTCAATATCTGGTTGCAGATTACCTGTACAGATGAGTAGAGGAAACATTTTAGAGAACAATCCTCAGCAGGTCTCCTCAGAATCCTACTCTTGTCTATACAATGGGGTTTTCTCTCAGGGAAGTGTTCTTCTGACTGTACTGTGAACCTACTAATATCCATGAATGGTTATTCAGGATTCCTTGTTTGACCATCTCAGTCCAATAGATAACCTTGTTTGGAATGAGCAACGAATGGGACAGTTTGCACATAGGGAAACTGGATGGCCCAACATCCACATATTTGTTTCCACAGACCTAAGCTTGTCAATCCTAAAAGAAATCAATCCTGTCTGTTCCCTGGAAGGCCAGATACTGAAGCTGAAGCTCAAATGTTTTGGCCATCAAATGAGAAGGGAGCACTCACTGGGGAAGACCCTGATGCTGGGAAAGATTGAAGGTAAAAGAAGAAGTGGATGGCAAAGGATGAGATGGTTAGACAGTGTAGTCGATGCAACAAACATGAAATTAAGCAAACTCCGTAGCACAATGGAAGACAGGAGGGCCTGGTGTGATGTGGTCAATGGGG